AATCTTTACAGCCAATTTGGGTAACCATATCCACAGCCAACTCAGTTTTCCCTTTATAACTTTATCATAGTTGGACCAAACAATCCCCTGATCACTTATTCAAGTCATTTTTTAACGTATATAATTTTTATTTGAGTAGCTTTATCATGAAAGTCTTACAAGTTAATGTGTAAATTAAAATATTTTTTTCTGTCAAAACCGTAAACTTAATTTAGTGTTCTGTCACATACTATAGTTTTCTTCCTATTAAAAATATCTAGTGAAAATAGTTCAGATCACATAGTGCTGTTGAGTTTTATTATCTAAGTGAACAATTTTAGAGTTAAAACCCCTGGAACCAAGACAGTACAGATTAGTGCCACTTCTCAAGTACCTCCCTCTCCTCTTCCACCCTGTGTAATGTGATTTCTGCCGCCCGTGTGAAGAGTTACAGCTGTCTCAAGATTTACTATGCTAGTGGTCACTTAGACCCCTGCAGTGTTATAAAATTTAAAAATATGTTCTATCTCTATTTTAAAACACCAGATAATGTTTATCTCCACAGTGCTGGTAGGTTTTTGTTTTGTTTTGTTTTATCATATTGGTATTTCTCATTTTTGCACCAAAGTCAGTTGGCTTTTTTATTTGTTTGTTTATTTTGAGGGAAGGGTGGACGGGCAGAGAGAAAATCTCAAGCAGGGTCTGTGTTATCTGCACTGAGGGCTATATCCCACAAACTGTGAGATCATGACCAGAGCTGAAATCAAGAGTCAGAGCCTCAAACCACTGAGCCATCCAGGTGCCTCTCTGATGTCTTTATTTGTATAGACATTTACAGGATTCCTTATTCCTAGACTTCACCAAGGTTGCCATTCTCTTTTTACTGTGCTGAAGAAAACCGAGGCTGTAATAATAGCTAGAAATATTACTGTATTTTAGATGGCACTTCCTCCAACCATTAGAAACAAATAATTGGAGAAGAGTTAGTATAGTTTTCATTAACATTAACTTTACTATAAATTCCTTTAGGAAATTTCCTTTCTTATAAATGATCCAGAAAAGTATTTAAAAGATTAACATAGAGTATTGGTTTTTGGCATATAGTAATGTCATTGTCATGTAAGAAGTTGGCAGAATACCATGACAAAGGGTATGTATTTAATACCACTACTGAGTAACAGTGATTTGTTATTATTGCTACTACAGTGTTTTGGTGGTTGGGGTCAGAGAGAAGGGAGCCCGCATTTGCTGAGCATCTTGTATAAGTAACAAACTGTGTCTGTAAAGGAGATGCACTTAGGTTATCTAATCAATTGGAAATTTGAAGAAAAAAGCTGGAGGCCATGAGGTGAATTTTTATTTTAATGGGAAATTTTTGAAAATCAGTATTTTAGCAGGAGGTTAGTTATCTGCGAGATTAGACCAGTAGCCTGTGATTGATGTTCTTGGATGAAAACAGGTTTCCCTCTCACGCCCAGCATGAAGAACCCTGTCTCGGAGATCCAGATGGATGGAACATATCTCTTTGACCCTTTAAATCCTGTAATGATGGATTTTTGTCCACAGAGTTGACCAGAATGCCAAGTTTCACTCAGCTGTTTACTTCATATTATATACAGTTTTCCTTCATTTCTCCCTTACTCAGCCCTGTTTGTAATCCCTTTCCTGATAACCTCACCTTAAACACATGATTAAGCTTTTCTGTTGTCTCTTATAGTTGAATCAGAGCAAGTGATTGATGAGGTGCCCAGTTCCAAAGACAGAGAGACATCCTCATACCCTGAGGCTCTTTCTGCCTCCGCCTTCACTTGGTGTTCAAGTGTGTCTTTACATGAATTTGTGGCATCTCCATGTAAGCTTTAAATTCCTGAAGACAGGGAATGTGTCTTATTCTTTTCTCTATCTGCCACATTCTTAATGCTTTTGCTCAATATATTTCTGGTTGAGGTAATGAATGTTGTCTTGCTATTGCTCATTTACATCAAGTATAAGAATCTGCAAGATTATTATGGTGATATGGGGTATTGACACTCCTAGTGAATTCTCAGATATCATTTTCCATAAAACCTACATCCTCCATGTCTTTCTCTTGCCTTCTGTTCTTCAACCCATAGGGAAGTTCCCTCTTTTACAGATCCTTTGAAGGATCATTTTCATGCCTGAACCAGGGGAAGGCTTACAAACCACGTGTAAAAAGAAATTGTTTGTGTGACTAATTGCGGACTGTAAAGTTTGAAGGCAGAGACTTTAATTCATGCTTTTAACCAGTGCCTGTCATCTAGTCCAGCATTTTTCACAACTGGGACTTTCTTCTTTAAAAACTACAAAAAATTTATTTCTCACAGCAAATGGGTTCATTTGTTTGAAAGTCTTTTGTCATTTTATAGAGTGGTGACCTTTGTCCAGATGACTGTTCATCTGACAAACCCAGCCCATGTGCCTTTTACTGGGACACAATAATGATGCATGTGTCTGCTACTTCCATTTTCACCTCAGCCTCCCATTTGTTACTTTCCACCTTCAGACAGGAGGCAAGGCTATTTGTCTGCCTCAGCTTAATATGTAAATCCCCCGAGCAGGTGAGTGCAGTAGGGTAGGATGTCCCTCAGATCGCATTTGATACCTCCAAATTTATTCTGCTGCGTGATGATAAATTCTAGTTTGGTTCTCGCCTTGCATCCTATTTTAATTATTTTTGTAAATGTCGAACTGTATTTTTCCATTATTTTGTGCTTACCTTCCTTCTACTAGTACTCAGTGTATCAATATCAGTATGCAAATGTACAGCTTTTAAGTTAAACGGTTTATTTAGAAAACTAAGATAATTTGGGGATGATTCTAAACCATTGACTATTAACATATTAACACTTACATTGTATTACCTACAGTGTGGTTTTCGTTCATGTGATTTAAAGTGAAAAGATAGAAAAAGTTTGTTTGGATTATATACACTCTCTTATACCAAATATAAAAGAATCCTTTTTCCAGTTGGAAGCTCATACTAAATTAGTTTACTTTACACACGGTATGACTGTTTTAAAAGGCAAGCTATGGGATTGTAACAGTTGTATTGATATAATAAAGTTTCCAGCAGTTAGCCACATATAAGAATGAATACATGTAAAATACATTTTTATTAGTTGATACGACTTTTAGCAATGTATAATGAATAGCAATAGGTATATTTCATGTGGTTGTATTGTCACAGAAGGGGAAAGAAGCATCAGAGTAGGGAGAGTTATAGGAGAAAGTCACAGCAAAGTAAAGAAGGGAGGATATTGTGAGTGAAGGTTGAAACCTCCAAGACAGAAAGTCTGATGGATCAGCTGCAACACCGCACATCGCAGCTATCAGCCTGCTCACATGTGCAGTCGAAATCCTACTATGCTGGTGCTTCACTCATACTTTGTCCTTTACCAAATGACGGTTTATGACAGTGCTGTTTCGAGCAAGACTATCGGCACCTTTTTTCCAACAGCGTTTGCTCACTTCATGTCTCTGTGTCACCTTTTGGTAATTCTTGGCAATATTTCAAACTTTTTTTTATTATGTTTGTTGTGGTGATCTGTGATCAGTGAATGATCACAGCTTGCTGAAAGCTCAGATGATGATTAGCATTTTTTATTAACAAAGTATTTTTTAACTAAGATATTTCATTGTTGGAGCTCCTGGATGTCTCTGTCGGTTGAGCGTCTGACTCTTGATTGCGGCTGAGGTCATGATCCCAGGGTCATGGGATCGTGTTCCACATTGGGTTCCATGCTGAGCATAGAGCCTCCTTAAGATTGACTCTCTCTCTCTCTCTCTCTCTCTCTCTCTCTTCCTCCCTCTCATTCTTTCTCTCTCTCTCCCTCCCTCTCACTCTCTCTCACCCCTCTCCCTTGCTTGCTCTTTCTCTATCAAAAAAGGTGGAGGGGGCGGTGTACCTGGGTGGCTCAGTCGGTTAAGCATCCAACTTGGGCTCAGGTCATGATCTCTTAGTTCATGAGTTCAGGCCCACCTCAGGCTCTCTCCTGTCGGCTCAGAGCCCACTTCAGATGCTCTGTCTCCCTCTCTTTGTGCCCCTCCTGTGCTCTCTCTCTTAAAAATAATAAACATTTAAAAAAGTGTTTCATTATTTTTTAAATATAGTGCTACCGTACACTTAATAGACTGTAGCATAGTGTAAACATAATCTTTATATACTTTGGGAACCCAAACAATCCATTTGACTGGCTTTATTGTGACACTCCCTTTATTGTGGTGCTCTAGAAGCAAACCTTGTGCTCTTGTGCTCTTTCCTCTACCTGGCCCAGCATCTTTGAGTAACTAAAAAGTTAATTCGTTTTCCCTACCTTGTTCCCCTTCTCCCACTCTTGATCTGAGCTTTTTTATCCCAAAACTGATCACTTCACTCTTTTAAGTTTGCCTGCATTTGCCTTACCGGTACATCAAAGCACAGATTTAATTTTTGCCATACTTACCAAATTAAACACCGAGTGGAATCTGGTTTGGGTCTGGTATTGACTCACAGTTTGTAGTGTGTACCTGATACCCACTTTGGAGTTGGTGCTGTACTGTACACTGTTGCTTACAATAACCCTACATATTGGTGATATTGTTCTCAATTTATGGAACAATAAATTTAGGTGAGGCCCAGAGAGGTTATGTTCTCCTTCTTTGGTCACTGTAGACTAAATGGAAGTGCTACGGTTTGAACTCTGATGTTTCTATCTTCAAAGCCCTCTCCCTTTACCTTACAAATAACTCCCTCTCAATCATGGTAAGACAGCTTTTTGGATGCTTAAAAAAAATGTGGGTCAAAAGATACGCATTTGCTGCTTTTGTACCCTCTTCCACAGATGAACTAGTAGTTAAATGCATGTGCTGGGCTGAGATTGCCGTTCTTCAATAAGTAAAGCCACAGAAGTTATTGAAAGTAATTTTTCCTTCATTATTTAAAGAGGGGGGATGAGATAGAAAGTCTGTTAAAATTTTCAATCTATACATTAATTAAAATCTTATCTGTTCTTCGTTTATAGTATAAAGATGCATTTATGAAAGCAAATCCTGGCTACAAATGGTGTCCTACCACAAACAAGCCTGTGAAATCCCCAACACCTACTGTTAATCCACGAAAGAAACTATGGGCCTTCCCATCTGAGTCTTCAAGAGATTTGCCAAGCCCCAAGAAAGCAAAGACTGAAGAAATGCCTCAGCTAAACTTTGGAATGGCTGGTGAGTTTAGACATTACTTCTACCTTCTACCTGTTCTTTTTTTCCCCCCGCCTCGCCTCGCCTCGCCTCGCCCCGCCCCGCCCCTCCCCGCCCCGCCCCTCCCCTCCCCTCCCCTCCCCTCTCTTTTCTTTCTTTCTTTCTTTCCTTCTTTCTTTCTTTCCTTCCTTCTTTCTTTTCTGTCTTTTTTTTTTTTTTTAGAGAGAGAGCACAAGCAACAGAGAGGGGCAGAAGGAGAGAGAGAATCCCAAGCAGTCTCTATGTGGTCAGCACGAAGCCCAGCATAGGGCCCAGTCCCACAAACTGTGGGATCATGACCTGAGCTGAAATCAAGAGTCAGACCCCCAACTGATTGAACCACCCAAATGCCCTTCTACCTGTTCTTTTTAAGGATAAGGCAATACATTTAGGTAGTACTTTTAATAAATAATGTAAATATATTTTATATATATATTATTTATATGCATATATATATATTATATACAGAGAGAGAGAAGAAAAATTTATAACCAGCATGAAGCATTGCAAATAGAACATATCCGAAAGCTTTGGAATATGACCTACATATAATGTGTATGGATAACTAAAGGAAGTTATGAACCAAGTAGTAGAGTCATTTGCATAAATGTGAATTTCTGGCATTGACATTATGGAAAGGCAGACAGCAAGGTAGTGATTATGAGCTCAGGGCATTTATAAAGTAACAAAGTACCTTACAATACATGTACAGTATTGGCTATCCCAGTAAGTATCTTAGTTACGGGTTCATATAAAGTCACAATTAATGTTGGTCATTTGAGGATCTGAAACATCAAGGGCAAGAATATGAATAGTTCCCTCACAAGTCTGAGATGGATCAGACAGCTGTTTTTTAGAGGGAATTCCCATTCTACCCACCTCCCCCCTACCCCCATTCCCGTATGACCCTGGCAAATGAAAACTTCCAGATGGTCCCATTTGTTATGGGACTTTTAATACTCTTTGGGTGGTAGGGAATGCTAGGACATTTATTACCATGAAATAAAAGTACTTACATTCATTCTGCACATGGCTCCGTCTTCCCTGGCTATTGCAGTGTAGTAATCAAGAGAGAAATTTTCCGGGATGAAATTGGGAGATTGAGCAGGGTGGAAACTATGAAGTTGGTGTAGAGCTATATGGTTCCTATTTCATTATTCATTATAAATAAATTTTCTTCAAAATGAGAGCACTGAACCACTTACAGTACAGAGAGCCTGGGAAAAGAGGTTGAGTAATATTGTGATAACACTTCTTGTGTTTTTAACCTGGTTTTACTGAGAAATAATTCACCTACATTGTGTATAAGTTTAAGACCTACAGACTGGTGGTTTAATTTACATATAGGTTCAGCTAACATCTGTCTCCTCCTGTAGATACAATAAAAAGAAAATGGAAGAAAGGAAAAATATTTTCTCCTTGTGATTAGAACTCTTAGAATTAACTCTCTTTAACAACTTTCCTGTAGGTCATACAGCAGTGTTAGCTATAGGCATAATGTTATATATTATATCCCTAGAATTATTTATCTTGTATTTGGAAATTTGTGACCACATTTCCTCAGTTCTTCCTCCCTCCACCCTCTGCTTCTGATAATCACAAGTCTGATTTCTTTTTCTGATTTTCTTTTTTTTAAGATTCCACATATAAGTAGGATCATGTAGCATTTGTCTTTCACTGACTTACTTCACTAAGCATAATGCCTTCAGGGTGCATCCATTTTTTCACAAATGGTAGGATTCCCTCATTTTTTATGGCTGAAAAATATATCTTTCTGTATATATGTGTATATAAAATTGCATCTTCTTTATTCATTCGTCCATCATTGGACATGTAGGTTGTTTCCATGTAAACGTGTGTTTATGCCACAAAACAAGTCTTAGCAAACTCAAGAAGATTAAAATCATACCAAATATCTTCTGACCACAATGGCATGAAACTAGAAATCAAAAACAAGAGGAAAGCTGGAAAATAAAAAACTTCATGAAAATTAAACAACATTCTATAGAACGACCAATGGATCAAAGAAGAAATTAAAGGGGAAATAAAAGAGTTTTTTGAGACAAACTAAAAATGGAAACCTAACATAACCAGAATTTGTGGTATGCAGCAAAAGCAGTTCTCAGAGGGAAGTTTATAGCAACAAATACCTACATTAAGAGTCAAGAAAGATCCCCAAAACAACCTAAATCTATGTCTTAAGAAACTAGAGAAAGAAAAACAGAGCTCAAGGTAGTAGAAGAAGGAAAATAGTACAAATTTGATTAGAAATAAATGAATTAGAGAACAGAAAAACAAGAGAAAGGGTAAACGAAAGTAAGAGTTGGTTCTTTGAAAAAATAAACAAAATCAACAAACCTTTAGCCAAACCACAGAAAAATATAGATAAAGGACCCAAATTAACAAAACTATAAATGAAAAAGGAGACATTGCAACTGAACCACAGAAATTGAAAGGATCAGTAGAGGCTACTATGAACAAGTATATGCCAACAAACTGGAAAATCTAGGAGAAATGGAGAAATATTTAGAAATCTACAGTTTACCAACACTGAATTAGGAAAAAAATAGAAAATCTTAATAGACCAATTATGAGTAAGGTAATTGAATTAGTAATCAAAAATTTCCCCATGAAGAAAAGCCCAGGACCAGATGGCTTAAGTGGTAAATTTTACCAAACATTTAAAGAATTAACACTAGTTCTTCTCAAACTCTTCCAAAAATATCAAAGAGGAAGAATGACCCCTAAACTCATTTATGATAGCAGCATTATTCTGATACCAAAATCAGAAAGGGACACCACTAAAAAAGAAAAGTACAAGCCAATATCCCTGACAAATACAGATTCAAAAATTCTCAATCAAATACTAGCAAACTGAATTCAGCGGCACATTAAAAAGATCATTTACTATGATCAAGTGGGATTTATCCCAATGATGCAGGGGATGGTTCAACACCTATATATAAATCAATGTAATCATATGACCATCTTAAGAGATAGAGAAAAAGCATTTGATGAAATCCAACATCCATTCATGATAAACACTCTTAACAAATTAGGCACAGAAGAAATGTACCTCAGCATGATAAAGGCCATATAGAAAAAGCCCACAGGTAACCTCATACTCAGTACTGAAAGCCTGGAAGCTTTTCCTTTAAGATCAGGAATAAACATCAGTGTCTACTCTCATCACTCTTATTCAGCATCATACTAGAAGTCCTAACTAGAGCAATAGGCAAGAAGAAGAATAAAAGAAAAAGAAGAATCGAAAAAGAAGTAAAAATTCATTTTTACAGATGACATGACTTTATATTTGGAAAATCCTAAAGAATTAACTAAAAAACTACTGGATCTAATCAATGAATTCAGTAAAGTTGCAGGATACAAGGTTAACATAAAAATAAGTAGTGTTTCTGTACACTACATATTTTCTGAAAAAAGACTAAGTTGATCCTATTTACAGTAGCATTAAAATGGTAAAATAGTAACATTTAATGAAGGAGGTAAAGGATCTTCAAAAACTACATAACACTGATGAAAGAAATTGAAGAAGAAATGGAAAAGTATTCTGTTTATGGATTGCAAGAATTAATATTGTTAAAGCAGTACAGCCAAAAGCCATCTATAGATTCAGAGAAATCCCTACCAAGATTCCAATGGCAGTTTTTACAGAAGTAGAAAGGACACCCCACAATTTATATGGAGCCACAAAAGTCCTAAATAGCCAAAGAAATCCTGAGAAAGAAGAAGAAAGCAGAGGCCTCATAGTTTCTGATTTCAAGCTATAAGCTCATAGTCATCAAGGCATAAAAACAGACATATAGACCCATGAAGCAGAATCAAGAGCCCGTAAGTAAACCCAAATATGTACAGTCAACTAATATCTGACAAGGGAACCAAGAATACGAAATGAAAAAAAGATTGTCTTTTCAATAAATGGTGCTGGGACAGTTGGATATTCATATGTAAAAAAATGAAACTAGACCCATGTCATAAACCATAACAACTTAACTTCAAATGGATTAAAGACTTAAATGTGAAACTTGAGACTATGGAAATCCTAGAAGAAAATGTAGGAATAGAGCTTCTTGACATAGATCTTGGTAATGATCTCTTTTGGATATGACACCTAAAGCACAAGCAACAAAATGAAAAATCCAAATCTAATATCCAAATATCTGTAAGGAATTCCTACAAGTCAGTAGTAAAAACCAAAACCAAAAACCCAAGTAAAAAGTGGCGGAAGTCCTGAAAAGACGTTGATCCAAAGAAGAGGTACAAAAGGCCAACTAGGTACCTGAAAAGATGCTCAACATCACTAGTCATTAGGAAAATACAAGTTAAAACCACAATGAGATACCACCTCATGCCTCTTAGAATGAATATCATCCCATAGACCAGCGAGAACAAGTACTGGTGAACAGGTAGAGAAAAGGGAACCTTTGTGCACTGTTGTAAAGTGGTGTACTCCCTAAGGGAAAACTGTATGGAGGATCTTGAAAAAGTTAAAAATAGAACTTAGTAATTCAGGGTGTGATTCATAGTATAACAAAGTATATGTGGCATTGTCAGATCTATATACTAAGAAATACAATCTGACATCGTAGCATCCTGAGGAAACAAAATCTTCAGGTGGTTGTGATGTAGGTGTCCATGGTGTGATTCTAGGTAATCACCTAGATTACCTAGACACAGTTTTAGCTGTCATTGTACACCTGTAGTTTCACCCTGCTTGCCAGCAGTCTTGGGACTTTACAAATTATATCAGTTACAGCGTTTTATATTAAAACATTTTATCAGGATAACGAAAGAGTATATGGATGCTTGACTGCCACCTGAATTCCTTCGTCGTTAGTCTTCCACAGCTTTTTCTCCTAGTTCTAAATCAACATCAGTAGGTGCTTTTCATACAATGGCTCTTCACAAACCAATAATTGTAGATGAAGCTATGAAATCTTTGAAAGCTATGAATGATGTCTGTTTCTAGCACCATTTTTGACAGTTTATTAATCTATCTTTCATGCCTACAAATCAAAATGTCTGAGACCTAGACATCAACCAAGATATTTACATGTCAGCTTTACAAAAACAATGTTCTTTTAAAGTAAAATAAGGAAGGAGAACACTTTCTTGAGTTTGTGTCATTCTGTGAGGGTCTGTGACAGATGTTGGCAATCCATGGTCAGTGCCTTGTTAACCTGTTGTATAGCGGATAACACTGTTGTGACATTTCCAGTGGTGTCTCTTGCAACACAATGAAAGCAAATGGATTTACCTTTTTTTTTTTTTTAATGTTTTTTATTTATTTCTAGGAGAGAGAGAGAGAGACCGCGTGAGCAGGGGAGGGTCAGAGAGAGAGGGAGTCACAGACTCTGAAACAGGCTCCAGGCTCTGAGCTGGCAGTCAGCACAGAGCCCGACGCAGGGCTCGAACCCACGAGATCATGACCTGAGCGAAAGTCAGACGCTTAACCGACTAAGCCACCCGGGCGCCCCCAAATGAATTTACCTTTAATGAAAACATGATGCCTAGCTGTTTGAATCTACAGGATCCTTACAGGGCCTTCAGAGGACAATTTAAGCTTTTCCTCAATACGGAATCTCTTCTGTTTTTCCATCAGTCCTTGTCACATGACATTTTGCTATTTTAAATAATCCCAAAGCAGCTAAATGTATGATTTCCAAGAAGAGAAAGTGCTGTAGAATTTAAGTGAGTACAGGCCTTCATGGTAAAGAGAAAGCATGCTATCTGTATATTTTTTATGTGTCTAGGTAACATTATGTAAGTGTAAATTAATGTAAAGGATGATAGTAATTTTTTGGTCTATGTTTCATTAATCTAGACAGCAAACTTATTGCAAAGTTAACAATGATATATAACTGAAATAAATCGTCATGTGAGCATGTTCCTATTTTGCTTTATAATTTGAACTAAAACATTTTTATTTCTATTAGAAAGCAATATCCAGTCCTCCTGATCCTTGATGTAAAAGTATTTAGCTGCCCAAAGAACCAAATTAACATTTTACTTTCTGTTAAATTCATTTCCCTCTCCTTCTTTTAATTTTAAATAGATTTAAGTGTCTATTTTAACAAAGCACAATAGTTCTTAAACTCAACATTTAATTAAAAGTGGAATCTTAAAACAACAGCAAAATGCCTTATTTTCATCACAAAAGCTAGAGCTCCTGTGTTTTCTGTATGTGTGTCTTCCTATGTGGCTGCTTTCCAACACTGAGCTATTTCTAGACCACCTGATCATTTGGTGGCCAGTTTTCCCCCTCTGATAACCTTTTCCTTTTTTTTTTTTTTTTTTAATAATCTTAGATTCTTTTTTCAATTTTTAAGAATTTGTGTATAAGATGTGGTCAGAGTTGCTTCATGAGTAAGACAGATTGTGTACAAGGATATACTTAAGGTCATATCTTTAAACAGAAAAGAGAAAAACACCTCAATATCTTCATGCAATAGTATGCCTGATTTTCATTATAAAAAAAAAGTTTTATTTATTTGGGGAAGAGGGGCAAAGAGAGAAATGCAAACAGACTTCATGCTCAGCACAGAGCCCAGTGTGGGGCTTGATCTCACAACTATGAGGTCACGGCCTGAGCCAAAATCAAGACTTAGAGGCTTAACCAACTGAGTCACCTAGGTGCCCCTGATTCATTTTTAATTTAGGAAAGATTCCTAAAAATAAAAATGTATTTATTTAGGACCTATATGCACTAGGACAGGCACTGAATTAGGCACTGTCATATATGTTATTTCATCTCAGATCTAAAACTTAATTTATTTAATATAACCTTAAAGGATATAGGTTTCTTTTTGTCTTTAATCCTTTACTTGTTTAAGGGCACCTGGTTGGCTCAGTTTGTTGGGCATCTGATTCTTGATCGCAGCCCAGGTCTTGATCTCATAAGTTTAAGGCTCACGTTGAGCTCCACTTGGGTCATGAAGTCTACTTAAAACACACACACACACACACACACACACACAATGTGTTTGGTTATAACTCTGGGTTGTAGATCTATCACATTGCTGTTTTTATTTTGTCCTTTTGTTTCTGTTGATTATGGAAGGAAGAAAATAAAGACCTTCACTAATATAAAAATGATTCGTTTTAAATCTTAAAAGTATTTCAAAGAAGGGCCTGACTATACCCCTAAGATTTAAAATATCAAAAGTACATCATTGTCTAGTGAAAATTTGTTTTTAAAAGTTTTAGAGAAAGGTTCTTTGAACAAAGCCCGCTAGTAGATTTTGGAAGGCTCATTTATAAAATTTCTCTCTGTTCTCTAGTTTCTCATATAGTCTAGTTTTTGTATCAGTCCTAATTTTACATGATAGAAATAACAATTGGAGAATAATAATCTCAAACTTCTTAGACATTAAGTAAAAGCACTCTTTTGTTTTTTTAAAAAGAAATCCATCTAAACTCCCCATTCAGTAAGACAAGAAGCATCACATGAGTAGATAATTTATATTTTAAACAGCTATGGAATTGCTGGAGTAATGGGTTATATTGAAATGGCAGACAATAGGGGAATTTAAAAGGCTCACAAAATATGAGTGCATACTTAAGCACATATATGCCAACATATATGCTAACAGCGTATAGTTGTTGCTATATAAAGAGTTTTGAAAGTTTTCTATAAAAAGTTATATATGGTTCTGTTGGATTTTGAGTCTTTGTTAGTATTCCATTTCGACTCTCTGTGGATTATATGTACTTCATGCTTGTGGACTGATGATTTGTTTGTTGTCAACTTTTTCAGATCCTACTCAAATGGGAGGCTTGAGCATGCTACTTTTAGCTGGAGAACATGCTCTTGGAACACCAGAGGTAAGCCGGTCCTCATCCCTGACCACTCTGCTCACACCGGGGCTTGAAAACACAGATATCTGTATTCTGTTCACACTCTTAGTTCTCTAGTTTCACTCTTAAGCTCATGAGCAAATTTTACTTCTCTTTTTCTTTTCTTTTTGTCAAGATCTGTGTTTTGTATTGTGCCTTGAGTAAAACAGAAGTGGTATAAATGAGCCCAGGAGGACACAAACAAGAAGTCCGGTGCAGATTTTTGAGGTTCCATGAACCTGAGAGGAAGAAATGGAATATACAGATAGTTAGCATTTCCCATGATTGTGTCATGGTCAGTAGGGTGCGTCGTATGATTCATTCGCTCTATTCATAACATACCCTGTTTTTGTGACGTTATTGTGTAGACTTGCTAGTGAAAAGATGAGAGTTTAACTGTCAATCTCTCTGGTACCTGGATGAATCCACGCTCCTATTTATGAAACATGGCACTCCAAGATTGTTTTATTCTTTAAAATGGAAAACAAAAAGGACCTAGGCCTTCATGACCTTGGTTTTATGATCTCTTATTTCCTTATAGTTACTGGAATGCTTTTACAAAACATTTTTAGGTATGGTTTTGATGGGCAGCTAGTAGCAGTTAACCATGCATAGTTTGCATTTGTGAAATTTCTCGCTTTTTCCAGGCCCATTTAACAGAGGCCAGACAAATTAACCTGCAGGTCATGTTATTTTACCACAGTCAGGTACTTGAGATAGAGATTTTTCAAGCCCAACCAGAGTTGCTATTTATACAACATAGCAGTCATCTAAATTCTACTGCAGATACATATGATTTTTACTTTTTTTTAAAGTTATGAGTAGGCCATACAATGGGCTCATTCAAATAGTGGTTTTAGAAGATACCATGTAAGATAACTTATATCACAAAGGCCATTATTATGTATAGTTTACATTTGTGAACCATCGTTACTGGCTGGATAGTCAGTTTAACAAAATTACTTTGATTCCATTCAGTTCATTGTAGCAACAGAATGTGTAAACTGGTATACTGGTAGTTATTTACATTGTACTACTCTTTAGCTGGAAAAAATAAACACGTCACTTTGTGCCTTTACATACTTGTTATTCAGCATGTTTTTACTTTCTGACACAACAGAATTCTCAGGAAGTCATTTCACTTTCTGACACATAGCTGCTACCTGATAGCAACCAGACTGACTCTCACTTAGGTATAGAGTATCCCAAGCATGATCCAAAAGGTGAATGTTGGAATAATAATCCACACCTGACCTTTCAACGCAGTATGACTCATAATTCCCAAGAATGTACTGTATTGTGAAAGTCGGCATCTTTTCTAGCAGACTATATATTATAATGATGTTTTCTTCCCAAATTCTGTTACCATTCTTTCTAATTCTCAGGAACACATTTAAATAAATAAATATTCACCCATAGAACTTACAGATAGATTAAAATATTGGAGTAAAGACTCTTCCCCCCCTCAGCATTTTGCTTAAAGTTTCCCTCTTGGGCTCTTCTCAGTGAGAAGTTCTCCCTTTTAAAAAGAGCAGGTTTTTGGCACAATTTAAACACTACATTTTATTTCTGAGAAATGGGAACTATTTTGAGAATTCTCAAGCTAAAGAAATTTTTTTAAAAAGGTAAATTACTTAAAGAAGTGGACCATGTAGGAGAAGGGAATCTGTGCTTGAGAAGAAGTCACCAGCAATTAGGTCTTTAAGAACCATTTCTGGGGCACGTGGGTGGCTCAGTCGATTGAGTGGCTCAGTCGTTTGAACCTCCGACTTTAGCTCAGGTCATGATCTCATGGTCTGTGAGTTTGAGCCCCGTATTGGACTCTGCGCTGACAGCTCAGAGCTTGGAGCCTACTTCAGATTCTGTGTCTCCCTCTCTCTCTGCCCCTCTCCTGCTCATGTACTGTCTCTCAAAAATAAATAAATGTTAAAAAAAATTGTTTTTAATTAGAAGAAAAAAGAGAACCACTTCTAAGAATACAACTTTTTCTTTGTATTTCCTACTTCACATCTCAGAAATATATTTAGGTCATTATTGAAACTAGTCTTGAGATACTGAAACAATAAAGCAGTGAGTGTTGTACAAAATTAACCTGTGTCTAAATACGATTCATTCTGAGAGTTCCTATCCCACATATCCGTGTACTCTATTTAGCAGCTATTTTCTGTGCAAAGACTAGTTTCATTCCAAATATGCAAACATGGTTGTCCAACTTTAGGGGCCTATATACATAAGCAGATGATGATCGTAAGATAAATATAGTAAGTATATACTTACATTTTCCTAAGAAAATTATCAGGGTAATGAGATAAAGAGAAATTTCCAGAAATTTCATACGGCTGACATTTGGAACAATTACTGTGATGTATGTTTATACTATGAGGTAGGACCAGTCAAATAAAGTGACATTTTACAAAAATTCTGCCACAGGAAAAGTCTAATCATAACAGCTTTTTAAAATGCCATGACAGAATTCTTATTCTGGAATATTATTCCGAGAGCAAGGAGAGTTTCCTTTGTTCATTATCCTGAAATCCAACTATATAGAAAAAAAATTCTCAAAAGTCTGTACTTTTAAATGTGGAAATTTTAATATATTAATAGTCATTTTTAAAACATAATTCTAGAAGGCATAGAGGCTTGTAAATAATAACTTTTCAGATATGAATGATATATACGAATATCTTCTAGTGTCTCAAGTAATAAAATTTTGTATTAAAAGCTTTATTTGCTTATATTTCCTAGCTCTACCTGAGGTAGTCTTAGAATTTTTAGAGAGGAGTTATAGGTTCTTGAGATATCAGTGGGAAAATAAAGACAAAGAAAACATTTGAATTTTCTCTTTTTCCTGAATCGTCTGATTAACTCTGAATTTACCATAAGTTTGTGGCATTCTGAGGTGTACATTTTTACATGCTCCTGTGTTGAGGCAGGCAAATTTTCCATTGTGGTAACTCTTTCTCTGATGAATAAAAGGGATGAAATTTGTATTTACAGTTATTTTTCATGTAAATGATTAGCTCTCTACTTTCCTTTATACATTGAAATGCATGAAGTATTTTTTAAAGTGTTTGTCATTAATTTATGGATAAGGAAGAAAAATAGATGCATTATCAAGAAAGACACAAAGGAGTGACCCCTGGCTCAGAAAGCCAGATTAAGTTTGTCTCTGTTGAGATCCAGTAAAATGTAAGCATACAAGTCTCATTAGGAAATAATCCTGTAAGAGTGAAGGAAATGGAAAGGAATGTTACCTATGAAAATGAGATTTTAGCAAACATATTTAAACCAGATGCCAAATGGAAGTTGTTTTATCAATTAAACACAATATAAGGATCAGCTAAAAATAGGCCTGTCTGTTCTACATCAAAGTAATGAAGTCAGACCCTGGGAAGAGCTAAAGAGAAGGCAGTTACATAAAGAGAGTTAAACTCTTACGTTTTATATCAGGGAGTTACTATCTAAACATGAAAATGCAATAAATAAAGTTTATAATGATTATTTGATCTAGAGTTTGTAGAAGTGATCTCCAGGACTAAAAATCTTCTATACTTTTATATTTGTCACTAACAAAAATGCAAAGCTAAATTAAATTTAAAAAATAAAGGCAGAGAGTGCTGTATGTCAGAGAGTGTAAAAGGGACTGTTAGTCAACACATTACATATAGAACAGCTTGGATTAGTATTGGAGAGGCAACTCTCAGTATTGGACCTAAGTCAGCGCCAGAAAGTCATCTTGACTAGAACATAAGGGATAGTTTGGGGGCTAATGGAAAATTTTAAAAGTGAGGCAGAGTAATTATAGCTGATGAAAAGGTTTGAAGGCATCATTATCTTTTTAGTTGTAACTGAAGGCAGACTTTCTTTTTTTTATATATAATTTTTTTTTTAACATTTATTCTTTTTCAAGAGACAAAGCGTGAGTAGGCTAGGGCCAGAGAGAAAAGGACACACAGAATCTGAAACAGGCTCCAGGCTCTGAGCTGTCAGCACAGAGCCGGACTGGGGCTCAGACCCATGATTGGTGAGATCAAGACCTGAGCTGAAGTCAGACACTTAACTGACTGAGCCACCCAGGCACCCCAAGCAGACTTTCAAATGTGTGAGAAATGTATTAGATTTTGGGTCTGTGATTTTATTTTTTAGAAAATGTTTATTTATTTTGAGAGAAAGAGGGTGGGTGCATGAGTGGAGAAGGGGCAGAGAAGAGAGGGAGAGAATCCCAAGCAGGCTCTAGGCTGCCAGCACAGAGCTAGATGCACGGCTTAGTCCTACAAACCATGAGATCATGACCTGAACCACCAAAATCAAGTATTGGACACTTAACTGACTGAGCCACCCAGGGACCCCCTAGGTCTGTGATTTTAGAATGCTTGGTTCTTTTGTTAGAAGAGTAAAGTTCTGATCAAGCCACTTTTTTCTTTGCCTTCCATCCTGTAAAATGGAACTAATAGTAATACCCACTTACTTCTAACTCCCAAGATATCTGTGAAGATTAATGAAGTAAAACCTGTAAGGCAGTTTTAACTCTCCTGAAAAGCATTACTGCAGGCATGTAGTATTATCATCCTATGTTACTCTAGGCATTTCATACTCAACTAGAAAGTTTGCATGATGTGGCGCATCACTCCCCCATGTAGGATATCGTGTGCTTTACCAGCAGCACATGAATATGCACGTGTGCAGGTGTACGCACATACCCAGTTCCTTGTCCATTGAAAACTTGCAGAAATTGCAGGTGTAATTTACTCTCTATCACTAGATGCTCAAGAAGGAGACAACTATTTACTACCTGGGAGAAATCACTGTGTAGGACATGACTTCAGCAGAGTAGCTGAGTTAGCATGAAAGTTAGTGGAGAAGATGCTAGCAAATGATGGTACACCTCCATCTTGAAGGGACTGTATAGATCATACCTAAGAATCGAACAGTATAGGAACTGTTTGCCATCTTTGCACACATTCAGTCCTATGACAAGTATTTGCTTA